AGATACCCTGTGGGGGAGGGGCACATACCCCTGTGGGGAGAATGGGAGGTAGATACCCTGTGGGGGAGGGGTTGGGAAGGGGCAAGTACCCCGGGGGGCAAATAACTTGTGGGAGGGAGAGGGATACTCCAGTGGGGGAGGGATTTAGGCAAGGAGGGTGCATAACACTGATTGGGAGAATGGGGGGGACAGGTACCCCCATGGGGGATAGGGTTGGGGAGGATCATGTACCCCCAGTGGGGACAATGCAGGGAGGGCTTTGAGGAGGAGTATCATACCCCCCCATGGGGGAGGGCGCTGGGAGAGATGAGTAACTCACACTGGATAGATCCAGCTGGGCAGTAAGGTGTGAATTTGGCTGGGGAGGGAATTAACCCTTGGAGGACTTGATCCAGAGGCAGGGGCAGTTCCCCACCACTGGTGCTGTTGAAGGCTGGAGTGGCTGTTGGGGGGAGCTTCGGGGGTACAGAGGTCAGACGAGATGCTTACTGTGCTCTCTTCTGGCCTTGCAGTGGAAGGCTGGAGTGGGGGTTGGGGGGAGCTTCGGGGGTACAGAGGTCAGACGAGATGCTTACTGTGCTCTCTTCTGGCCTTGCAGTATATGAAACATAGGGGGGCAGTGAATGACGTTTTGCTGGGACATTTTACCCTCATTTTGGACTTTCTTCTCCATTACCTTACAGGGTGAGAAGTTGCTTATGCTAGTGAAAAATGGGTATCCAAGGCTGCCATTCATGTAAAAGACGAACTCTCATTTGGTGGTGTTTTGCAGGCATGCTCCACAGGCATAAATGTCTTCACAAGCTGCGAAGAATCAGGACTTGGAATCAGAAACCTAAAATCGGGCACCTTGTTTGTTGTAGGAAACAGTCTGAACAGTACAATAAAATGCTGTGAGATGTTTCTGCATTCAGACAGATGGCAAGGGGGTTTTCTTTTCAGAGAACTGATCATTTGAAAATGTTCCTGGTGTGAGAGGATGGGAAACTGGCTTTCTCCAATTGATGTTTAATCTAAGACAGCGGATACATACAAATACTGGTACTCCCACCTTCTGTTAGTGTGATCTCTACCTGAATGAAGTTCCCGTCTCTGCTGCCTGCCTCACATTCAGCTGTGTGCACTATAACCTGCAGTTGACCACTGGCTCCTCCATATTGTGATCAGGCTCCAATGCAGTGCAATATTCAGGTGGGTGATAGCAGTAAAGGGAAGTGTAGTTGTGCTCTTAGCTTGGTTCAGTTGCCTGAAAAGGTGAAGATACTGAACTAGACAAAATCCTGGTGTGTTACATGACTCATTCATGCAAACTGTAATATTTAAGCATCCTACCTTTTTGTTCCATTCATAATGCTTAGTAAGTAATTTGTATTCACAATGACTTGTTTGTGAGAATCTTCTAAAGGAATAAGTGTTTGTGGCTATCAGTATAATATCTGTAAGGACATTGTTCCTAGAAATATCACTGCAAGTGACCTGAAAAGCCTTTCCTCCAACAACAATATGAAACCCACTTGCCAGTTCGAAGCAGGGATCAGATAATCACCGTCATCTTATATGAGGAGGTTAAAAGCAACCTGCAATCTCAAATTAGAAAGTATTTGGTAGACATCACACTTTGTCAACTAAATAAAGAAAAATAAGTTTAATTTCCCAACATTTTATTAAAAAATTGATTCTGCCAAAAGATTCTTTATTGCAAAGATGGAATCTTGCAACAGAGCAGTAAAGTTTGCTGTAAACAAGCTTCAACCCAATAAGAAAACTCCTTCTCTCATCTTAAAATTTGAAGGATTTTCCAGAACAAGCATACTGCCCATTGGGAGTAACTGAAAGCATGCTCTTCAACAATTCTTTCTAGGCTTAAAGTGACTTTGAAAACGTCACTTCAGGAAAATGAATCTTAATATGCAGTTCAATTCAGGAGGATTTTTTTCTGTTATCATTTATGAATCATGTAATGTGCTAGACATACAAGTTCCATTTTTCTTCTTGCTTAATCCTCTTCTCTTTTCAGAATTAAATGTAAACCAGGGAGTATTTTTTCAGTCAAGTACCCTGAGTTTTGACTGACCCACCAATGCTATCAAAATGGTTCCTTTTAATGTTTCTAAAGAAATTACTTATATATTCCTAATGCTTTTCTATAGCTGTTAAGCAGCTTAAGAATAGCAAACCTAAAGCCAAACATTTAAAAGTAACATTAAATAACAGATTCACTGGGCTTAGAGGACAGTAAAACTTCTCTTGACTTATTTGCAATCAGGCTGGGTCTTGGAGTCAGAGATGTTAAAGGTGAATCGTTCGTGTGCTGTAGTTCCTTTGTGAGCTCTATTAGCGTTAGACAGGTAAGTGCCCAGTTATACAGGTATTCAACTGGAACTGAGTTATGCTTCCACACCTCTTCTCTCAGTATATCTGAAACAAACGAAAACAACAACAGAAGTCCATTCCAAAATTAGGGCTAGTTCTCTAGTAGGGATGTAAAATCCCATTTAATTGATGAACTGGTTAATGTGATGTTTAACTTGTTAGCCAATTAAGGGGGCAATGGGTGGGGGAGACACTCCACATGAATTCAGGTATGTATGCTAGTGAATCATGCTAGATGAGAATAGGGATGAGAAAGATTACCTAGCTAATCAGTAAGCATCGCCCTTAATAGGTAATGCTTACCGGTTCTAGTAAATGGGTGGGGACTGGAACAGCTCCCTGCCCACTGTGGGTGGGGGACTACTCCAGTCCCGTGGGGCCCGCCACGGACAGGAGCTGCTCCAACCCCCACCAGTTAACCAGAACCAGTAAATATCACCCATTAAGAGTGATGTTAACCATTCACATCCCTATCAAGAGCATGATCCGCTAGCATAGATGCCTAAACCCACGTGGAGTCCAGCTGAAGTCAGTGGAATATTGCACAAGGTAAGGGGCTCCATACTAGCAGATTCTGATGCAGAAACATGACCCAGAGTTTTTCATTTAATGAAGAAATCCAAAATGAGTATCCCAAAAGTCATACTCAGTAGGAAGTTCCTACTTTAGGCCTTGAACTACAACAGACATATTTTCTAGCTGGGTGAAAATGAGTCACCTACATCCAAGGCTGCACATTTCATTGCTCAACGTGGCTTTTCTGCAGTAGAAACATACTAATGTTCGATGGCTGGTTATAAAGTTATTTGCCTTTTCAGTCCATTGAATTTGCTTTACAAATGCGATAGCTTTTTTAAAAGGAAACAAACAACATTCATGATTGGTATGTTAGAAAGCTGACACCTGCTGGGAGCAAACAAATCGTCTACCATTACTGTCTGACTAATCTGTGCAGTGTAGTTAGTTGTAGCAGTATCAGCGAGACAAGGTGGGTAAGGTAATATCTTTTACTGGACCAACTTCTGTTGGAGAAAGAGACAAGCTTTTGAGCCACAAAGAGCTCTTTTTTGTCTGCCTTGCCAATAGATGTTGGACCAGTAAAAGATACCTCACCTACCTTGTTTGACTATTAGGAAAGTTCGTTTTTATATTGTTAGATGTGTTTGCGTGTCTTTCATTTTGGATGGTTGGAATAAATCAGCACTGTGAATATCCTTGGAAAGATCATGTCTGGATTCAGTAGAGCAAGTAAGTTGACTTTCACCTGTGCTGAACTTTGCCCATAGAATTTTAAAAGGTCTTTTTGACATGTTCATGGTTGAACCCAAAGAAACACCAGTGTGTTGTGTATGCATCCCAGTGTGTTTTGACCCAAAGACAAGGTAATGGCATAGACACGGCAGATGCAGGTAGAAAATCCTGTTGAAGGGTAAATACCAATATTTGATATTGTATATGAAATTCCCTTGATAGTTATTCTTAGAGGAGTTGTAGAAAGGTGACGACTTCTCTCTGGCTCACTAAGATCATAAGTGAGCTCTAGAAGCCACCATCATGTTTAGACATGGTTGTAGCCAACAAGGTAGTAGCCTGGTTTCTCTGAGCAGCGTTTATTTTTTTCTGAGAATCATGCTGTAGCCTAGTTAGTCTATAGCACAGTTTTATTCTCAGGCATGCATGCTACCTTTTAAGCCAGGCACCCATATCCTATGTGATTCAAGCCAGGATGAGCCAGGATGATCCGTTCCTTTCCAATCCTTTATTTCTTGTGCAGTTGTTAATATGCATTCACTCTTTCAGCTTGATGCCACGATTCTTCCTAATTATTTTCCATTTCTTAAATCTGAATTGTGTACCAACCAGGGATAATAATTGCTGTCCTGGATTGCCTGTGATAGCAAAAGTCTGGACTTGACCCCAGAGGTCCACCCCAGTTCTGTGCCCTATAGTCCTGTGTTTTTATTTGTGTTCCTGGTCACTTAGGTGCTGCAGAGATTTGTATAACTCGCCAAAGTCAGGGGTAGTCAATAGGTGGACTACAGACCAAGTCCGGACTGGCAGACACTTTTGACCAGAATCTGAAATCATTTTTTCTGGAGTCTGGCCTTTGACAATACCTTGACCAAGAAATTTGAACCTTGACACAAAATAATTACACTGACCTAAGCTGTGAGAGAGATCAGATGTGTCCTTGTTGTTCATCAGGTTGCTTTAGAATGCGGACATAGGCCTACATTTTTCCTGACCTGTTTTAATTCATCCTGCTCTAAAACAGATTAACTGTTCATGCTAATTTTAAATGAAAGTCTGACAGTTCCCCTAGCTAGAATGTCTGCATGAATCCATAAATGAGTTACGTGCTTTCAGAAAGTTTCTTCCATGGCAGCTTGATTTTTCTTGATGGACTAGTTGTATGTTTTATAGATTCTGCTTTAATAAAAAATGTAATTAAACATGACAGCTGTTATTCTGTAATATGGTTTGTTGTAGTGGGCGGTTTGAACTTAATAAATCAGTCATGTATAAATCAATTCCATCTTTAAATTACTGTTTATTGGTATAAAGATAGGGTTTGGCTAGGTGCTGCGCTGGACTTTAATACTAGACTTATGACATTAAAATGCTAGTGAAGGTGAGAAAAGCAAAGTGATTTTTCCAGGTTCGGATTCTGAGGACATTTAGTTGCCCTTTTTGGCTATTTTGATATGTAACAATTAAAGGTCACTAGGAGGTACATAGCATTAAAAGGGACCTGGAATAATTCCGATGTGTATATCACTGAGAAGTTGTATTTCGCTGCTCTCTGTTGCATTACTGGTGCATGCTGTAGGCAGTTAAGTGCTTAATATTCTATTAGAGTCCAGGTGGGGACATGTGAGGGCCACAGGAACATGCATCTAACTGGTGTGAAAGTTGTAGGACATTTGAAATTGATACATATGACTGTCCCTGTTAACTGCATGTAAGACCACTGAATTGTCCTATCAGTATTTGGTTTGAGTCCCAGAATAGTTTACATGCTAAGTAATTGTTCCTTTGTAGACTAGCAGCAGCTTGTCTTTACAAATGCAGAACTATATTTTCTCAGTCTACATGCAGGGCTTGAATTGCGGGGCAAGTGGGACCATGTGGGGCTGCTCTTGTTGCTCCAATATTTGAATATCAGAAGGGAAGCAGCCAGGCTTTGTTCCATGTTTACTCTTCCTGCCTAGGCTATAGCTATAAAAAGGTACATGTGTCAAGGTAGGATCAATAAATAAGCCAAGTTTAATTAGTGCCAACCACTCATCTGCTTTTAACAGACCCTCCATCTAGCATCAGCTCAGCAAAGGATAGTTTGTTCTTTAAACAAATGAGAGTATTGAAGGGGTTTTATGTAAAAAGATGCTGCTGTTAAAATTGAAACAAATCCTGTGGGTTTGTTACAGGGGACTAGAAGATGGACCCAGTGTTGCTCAGCTCCGTAACTCAACTGATTTTTATTTTTTGGAAAATAAAATGAAAATGTATGTGCTTCATTTAAATCATTGCTCCGGGGTGGAGCTGCCCTGGGGAGAGGGCACTATCCTAGCCCTCCCTCACCGCAGCAGCTTGGGGCCAGGTGAGAGGTGCCTCTTCGTGGCCCCTGCAGCTCCAGTGGGCAGAGCTGGAGAGGAGTGCATGTCCCCCAGCTGGGGCAGGTCCAGTCTTGTGAGCTCCCTTGCCCCCCAGCCAGAGTGAGGAATGCAGCAAATTGTGAACTTTTCCCTCACTCCCTGACAAAGGGGAATAGCCAGCAATACTCCTGTACAAATTGGGGGGAGGGGACGTTTCAGCCCCCTCCACCTTCCCTAAAGCGTGCCTTGGGATTGGGAGGCTCGGGGCTGGGGTAGTCCCAGATGGAGGTGGGACGTGCCTCCAGCCATCCCCTTTCACCTGCCTGGTGATTCTGTCCCTTTTCTGTATGGTTTTATGAGAAGCAATCCCATTCTAGGCACATCCCGTTTTCCTGGCACAACCCAACCCTGATCTATTATGTTAAGAGGAAGCTGTATACCGAATTTGGTGGTCCTAGCTCTTACTGTTTAGGAGGCATTCTTGAACAAATAAACAGACACACGAACAGACAGACTCACAAACTCTTAAATATATAGAAGATGTTCAGAATTATAGCAGCCTCTTCCATGGCCCTACCGCCCTGGGAAGCTCATCCTCCTGAGAAGAAGGAGAGTGAGAAAAGATGGACTGAGGCCAGACCCTTACTTGCAACCAGCAAGCACTTGGGGCTCGTCTACACTGGCCCCTTTTCCGGAAGGGGCATGTTAATTTCAACTATCGTAGTAGGGAAATCCGCGGGGGATTTAAATATCCCCCGCGGCATTTAAATAAAAATGTCCGCCGCTTTTTTCCGGCTTTTCTAAAAGCCGGAAAAGAGCGTCTACACTGGCCCCGATCCTCCGGAAAAAGGCCTGTGCTGAGATCACTTGCCCTGACGTGTTGACGGAACCCAGTTCAAAGCAGATCAGCTGCCTTTTCTTAGAGCTGTGAGTTTTGATTTCATACCTTGCAGGATTGTCTTGTTGATCAAAAAAGATTCCACAGAAGTTCAGAATGCTTTGTCTGTGGTTTCATTAGTTGGGGAACCAAAAATTTACCCGGGAGTTCATGGAGACAATACTTAGCTGCAGCATGTGACCCCAGAATTTGTTTTTTATATATACCTTTTATACAATTAGCCAGCAGTCTCTCCTGAACTGGCACATATGTGGCAGTTGGGTCAATGCAGCAAATCTTCTGAATCAAATCACCATCAAGCTTCTGCAGTGAAAAGAATAGAATCACAGAGTGGCCAGGAAAAACAGGAAAGGATTACAATGTCTCTAAAGGTATCCAAGCCAAACTGCTGGGAAGTTTGTGGGAACACTGATGGTGATGGAGAAGCAGAAGGGAGTGACAGCAGCAGGAGGATGGGACAACTGAAAAATTGAACAGTGGGAGGGCAGACGAGTGAGCATATGAAGAGCAAAGGGACAAGAGGGGGTCTAAAAGTCTTCCAATGGTTCTAAATAAAATGTCCTTTCAATATAATAATAAATTGACTAATGCTACAGCTGTTTATTCCACTATATTCTCTATGTCTATTTATACAGAGAAATATGCATTAGAGTTGTATTTTACACAGACACCTTTGCCATATATCACACCTCTCTAAAACCCTGGAGAAACAGAAATCATCACTCCTAGTTCTGCTGTCCAGGCTTGTAATTCACCATCTTGGATTATGTTTACTATGGAACTTTTTGAAACAAACAAACTGCCAGTTGATCATGACAGAAGGGAACCCAAGGATGGGCAAAGTAACTACGAGGAACTGGAAAGAAAGAGAAGGATGATAAAGAACCAGGAGAGGGCTGTGGCGGGGTGTGGAAAGGAGGACAGACGGCCCATTGCAATCAGATTTTTTTGTAGAATAAGCTGGTGTTATAGTAAATCACATTCCATATTACATTTTAAAAGATTTTCATGGTAAGCTAACGTCATTGTTAATTCCTGGAACTTGATAGGAAATGGATATTTTTTTCCTTGTTTACCTACTGTTCAGGCATAGACATAGATTTATGAAGTTTAAGGCCAGAAAGGTCTCTGTTCACTCTTTTGTTTTCCACTCTTAATTAAATCTGGCCTGCTAACCCTGTAGGCCTACAACCACTTCCCAGAACATATCTCCAGGAGCTTATTTCTCATATCTTCCTTGGCAAGTCCCACTGTGTCTTTTTACCTAGACAGAGACCTGCACAAAAACTTGATATCTCACCTGTACGCAATGACTCCAGTTCTCAATCTTCCCAGAACCCACGTACTCTGGGTAGGAAAGAAGCAGCACAGCCTTTACTATGTTATGCACCATGGCTGGAGGCTCTGTGTAGCTCTTTATGTCGGCAAATGACTCAGGATCGAGTTGCTGGACACACTCACGCAAGTCCTGCAGCATGAGCCGATGGAAGAGAATCTTTGTACGCCTCAGATCCGCAGCATGTTCTGCAACTGGAATCACAAGCCAGCCTTTCAAGGAGAGGCTCAAAAGCACCTGCTACTGAAGATGCTAACCCTAACCCTACGGTTTTGAATGCAGGGAACTGTCTTCCCTGTGACTCACTTTCCCTCCCTGTTCTAATTCAGATAGCATTCGCAAACGGTCGATTTCCAAACAGCCCAGGGAGACTGCCAGTGCTTTCAAAATGGATGTGGGTCCGAGGAAGGGAGGCAAGGCTCACGATCTGGATTTCAGCCTGTGCACTTCTGAGGAACACACAGACCCAGATCCTCAAAGGTTGCTAGATCCACCTATCTCAACAGTAATAAATACCTGTGAGGAGCTGGGCCTGAGCCTCTGAAACATTTTCCCTCCCTTGATGTTTTCCTCAGCATCAGCTGATTGTCTGAGTGCTATCCTAGCTGTACCTTTACTGAGATTCCTCAGAGCAGCCACAGAAACCTAGCCCTGCGCACCCAGTACCTAGGACATAGATTGGGTCTGTTTCTCCTGAAGACTCCTTCAGTATCTCAGAGCAGGCAGCTTGGGCCATCTTCAGCATTATGCGCAGGTCTCTGTGCTCATGAGGTGGAAGCTCCTGGTAATGCGCAGGGCTGAGGTCGAACACCCCGAGGGCCCGTCCTGTTGGCTCACGGAGTGGAACTGCCATGTGAGGCTCTCCAGAGACGAAGCTGCTAATGACCTCAGAGCTGTCTGTGCACTTAAAGAGGTAATCTCTAAAATGACAGCAAAGTGAGGACAAGAACATGAACTCTACAACTCCAGCCTTTATGGCAACTACTATTGCATTTATAGGGAACGACCGACATAGCTCACTGGGAAAGGGAAGGAATTTTTATGTCACTAAACCAGCTGCTTTCTTCCCAGCTGCCAACATGCAGGCAGATACAGGCATCTTTGCAGCCATATAGGAAGGAGAGAAATAGCATTTCGGATCACAGCCCTGCTCACTCTAGTCTAGTACTGAGCATCGTAAGGGTATAAAAAACACTAAATTAGTGCTGTATTCTTGCTGCAAACACAGTTTCCAATTCATAACTATGTTGACATTGGCTCTGTGGAGTTTCATAAAAATAAAAAAACATTTGCTGGAACAGCAAGTAACTTCTTGACTAAGTTTGGCAGCAAGGGAAGGTGTATTTAATAGCTAAGCCTGTGAGGACCTTGGTAGTTGAAGGTAATAACTATACAGTAGGGAGCTTCAGGGAAAATGAAGATGACAGGACCAGGAAAAAAAGATAACATTCGTTTCAAGAACCGAATGCTCAAGATATGCGGCCTTGTCCTGCAAACAGCCACCCCCCGACCCAGTGTTTTCTTAGAGTATATGGAAGTACTGATGTGAGTGAGCAATATGCTTGGCGTGGAATGTTCACAGGATGTAGCCTAAAGAAAAGGTCCCTAAGCCTAGATAACTCATTACCGCACACACAGCAGATACCAAGGTAGAGAGCATGTGACAGTCACCATTCCCACTGACTGTCTACAGCGCATGCATATTTTGCCAGCCGTAGGCCAGACATTGCAGTTGGACTTAACCTATCAGCCTAATCTTCTATCCAGCAGCCAGCGGGTCTAGCCACTTAGCTCACCTCTGGTGAGTGCTCTTTGCATGTGTTACAGCACCCACAGGGACGGCTACAGTAAAGAGTCTTCAACCCACCTGAAGATATTTTCTCTCCTGCGGAGCACAGTGGGAGGGGAGAGGTTTTTCACAGGCCCAGAGTGATCTGTAGTCATTGTCATGCGCAAAACATAGTCACCTGCCTTGAAAAGAGGAAAGGGCATTTGCCTCTGGTGAGTGCTCTTTGCATGTGTTACAGCACCCACAGGGACGGCTACAGTAAAGAGTCTTCAACCCACCTGAAGATATTTTCTCTCCTGCGGAGCACAGTGGGAGGGGAGAGGTTTTTCACAGGCCCAGAGTGATCTGTAGTCATTGTCATGCGCAAAACATAGTCACCTGCCTTGAAAAGAGGAAAGGGCATTTGTGTTGCATGCAGGAAACAAACATCCACTTTGAAGCTACTGAGAGCCACTGCTTAATTCCCAGGGCTGTGCTCTCATTCACATGCAGCCTCAGTGGGACAGCTTCTAACCAGGTGTGGTGTTATCCCCACAGGCCCGGATTTGAGTGCTCACTGTGCAGTACGGGTGTGTGCAACATCTTCCTTTGACTGGCCTAATGGAACTTATCCCCACGCTCCAGACCTGAAGGATACCAAGAGGTGGGTGAGCCTCATCTGCACTGTCAATAGCTCCCATAGATAAAGCCCCCAGGGCAGTGTATGTGCCAGATATGAAGCACGCTGCCATCTTTAGAAGCAAAGCACATGACTAATGGGGAGCCAATCAGACGAAAAGGAAAAGCTTGGACTGAAGAGTAAGATGCCCATGGGAACCTGTTCAGTCCCAAATATTTCATCCTCTTGCTTTTCATCTGCCAAATTCAGTTTGAGGTAACCGGACAGGTGTGCGAGTGTCTTGAGGCCTGCTGCGTAATTGGCATGTGAGCTGCCGGCAACTGGGCTGCCCTTACATGCGAGCTAATTGGGAGCAGTCTGCCTCCGGATTTGTCTTTACACTTTGCCTGCTGAGGTCGTTTCAGGATGAGGAGCCAGAACATTGACCACTTGGCCGTTCCCTCCCATGGTTCTGGCTGGTTTTCCCTTCCATGGTAGAGCAGTTCCCTTTTAGGATCCATTTGGCAGACAGCTGCTGAGTGGGCTAGCATGGTGACCATGAGGGTACTGTTCTCTACTTCCACGGGGCCCTGTGGTGCCAGGAATACTAACAATCCAGTTCCTGCAGCTCATAGGAGAAGCTTACTGAGGGTGCTGCTGTTGAGTTTAATGCATTAACTGATGGGAATCCCTATCAGCCTTTCTTGATTGAAGGAAGATCACCATAAGAAACAGCAAGAATAAAAAGTGGCATCCCCTGGAGCAGGGACCTTCCTTCCCTTTTCCCCCACAGACTCTGCTGACTGACAGCCTCAGGCACTGGGATCTGTGGCAGGATTAATCTGGCTGGGCGCTAACAATGCTTGGTCCCTGCCAAAATGCACTGGCACAATTCGTCACTACGGGCACATCTGCACAGCAGGGTTTAAGCTACGTCAATGGCATAGTTGGTTTTGAAATTGAAATTGGGAGTGTCTACACAGCACGTATTTCGAAATAGAGCACTCTTCCTCCGGCTTCCCTTACTCCTCACACAATGAGGGTTAGAGGAGTCAGAGTAAGCAGGCCTCCAGCTCGACAGTATTTCAAAAGAACTGCCTGCTGTGTAGATGCACACTAAGTGATTTCCAAATAATGTTGCTGTCTAGACATAGCCTAATATAGCAAGAGGTCTCTTCTGTGCTGTGGTCTAAGCCCAATGTGAAAGGACGATGCCTACCTTATCTTTGCCAGGCTCTACCAGGTACATAGTGATGTTGCGGATGGTGGGTGCCCTGGTGAACAGCCAGCCCACAGCAGTGAATGCAACCTGCAATATGTTTTCCAGTGTGCGGACATGGTGGTAGGCGTCGCTGAATACATGGGAAACCCCCTATGGAAACAGCTCTTTAAATGATTTGCAGATAAAGTCGGCATGTTTTCATAGTACATTAAGCATAACAATTAGCAAAATGTTAGTCTATCAAAATCGCTTTTCAAGGGGAGAATCTCTAAGAATTCAAGCTATCCTGTGATTGCCAGGGCTCAGGGGCAGGCCAGTACAAGATCTCTGAGGCCTTGCCTCCCATTGCTGGCATATTGTGCTCCCTTCTGGCCAAAAGGAGTAACTACAACAAGGCTGGTTCCAACTGCAGGTATTTACCTGCATTCTGGCCTGGTAAGAGGAAAAAGAAAATACAAATATAGAAGAGAGAGAACTAAGGCTAAGTGATGCCTACCTATGGCTAGACTGTGTGCCGCTCTCATTTCTGGCTACCGTGTATCTCTGTAAAGTTCCCTTCCTATTGCATCAGAACAGCCACTGAGATTTTCAAGCTTCTATTTCTGTTGCACCCATCCCTGCATGACCTGTCTGCTTATGCCATCTCCAGCTTGACTTCAGCTCATTTGAATCATTATCAACCAGCAAAGTAGAAATGTTTGAAGAAACAATACTGAAAGTTTTAAGGCACTGACCCAGCCTGAAACAGCAGCATATTTGGCAACACTTGGAAAGGAAGCTGAAGTGTAGTGGTTTGCAATTAATCCAGAAAGTATAAAGTGAACAGATTCATGGCACAAATATATAGCTATGTTCATGGCGAGTTGGTTCGTCAGTGGCTATTAACCAAGATGGTCTGGGAAGGTACCCCATCCTCTAGGTGTCCATAGACTTCTGACTGTCAGAAGCGAGGAACTGGACAACAGGGGATGGATCACTTGACAAATTGCCCTGTTCTGTTCATTCCCTCTGAAGAATCTGGCACCAGCTGCAGTTGGACAGGCTACAGGTCTAACCTGTCCTTATGTTAAAAACACCCCACCCCTCTGGTTAGTAAATAACTGCCAATGACAGTGACTTTGTACAAACGATTGCGCAGTGCCCCACTCACATGGAGAGGGGAAGCCTCCTCAATAAAGAGCTACTACAAGGACAGTATCTGTGCTATGTCCGTCCCATCAGGGGACGTGGATGGACAGTGCGTTTTCAGTTGTACAGCTGCTGCACATCCACAGTGAGGCCTGGAAGGCCACTCAGTCCCTAATATCTGAAGCCTTTAATGAACCTGCTTTTCTCATTCTGCCCACCTGATAGAACCTGATCTCGTGGGTTAGGAAGATGGTTTGCTCACACCGGTCCCGTAGGGTGTCAAGTCCTAAAATCCCAAAGATCCTCCATCGGGAATCCTGCAGTGGCAGCACCAGGAATGAGCCTCTCCTCTCCCGTTCTGGCCGATCATAGTTCCAGAAATGGATATTCCCATGGAGCTGAACTCTTGGCACATGGACTGGCTTCCCCTCTTCTGCTGCTGCAAAACTGAGGGACAGATACACCACAAGGAGGACAGGAGAAAAGTAAGTTGGCAGAGAAAATCTAGGAAAGCTCAGAGGATTTCCAAATGCATCTAAAAGTAAAATAACCCAAACGTGGGTGTTTTAGGGGAAAGGGACCCTGAAAGCAGCAATGCCTTGAAGACACCTCCAGCCAGGAAATGGTGGATTGCTAAGGAGACAGGAGGATGCAATGCCACCTAGCAGCACACGGGCAAACCAAGAAACAGTGCAGTCTGGGGCTCTCTTATGGCGTGAGTAGCATTGGAAGGTGATGGTCCCACTCTATCAGGCACCGATGAAACAACCCCTAGAATATTGGGTAGTCCTGGGGCACCTGAGAAGCTAACAAAAATATAACAGATAAGACCCACTTCATCATCTGCGTCTTGCTTCCCAGAACTTTAATGACAATCACACTTAGCACTTTACATGGCACTTTTCAACTTTAAAGTTTGGAAAATACCTGTCCAGGAATGTAATTAATAGAGACAAGTAAAGGGGACAGTTCAGAGGGGGGTAAAAGCACTGCATGGTGTATAAGGAAGGAGGCGAAGAGATAATGATGTAGAACTTCCATATGCAATAAGGGGACCGGATGATGGTTTCCTAGTGCTCATAGGGTGCAAGAGATGGGAAAGTACTTTGTAGCAACAGGTGGAGGTGGGGTGTCTAAGAAGCAGTAATGGAAGGAAGTGGAAAGAAGGAAATCGTAGGCTGAATATGACCCCGCAAGGGTTCTCAACCTCATTCTTTCTGGGCCTCCCCCCAAGATGTTATAAAAACTCCCTGGCCCAGCTGTGCCACAACTGCTGTTTTTCTGGAAATAAAAGCAAGGGCCAGCAATGGAGCATAGCAAGCAGGGCACCTGCCCAGGGCCACAGGGGCCACTGCAAAGCTTTAGTTTCCGCCCAGGGCTGCAGCCCCATGCAGCAGGGCTTCGACTTCCTGCCTGGGCTTTATTGAAGCTAGTGCTGGTCGCGCTTGGTGCATCCCCTCAAACCCGCTGGCGGTCATGCAGGGGGCCCTGGGCCTCTGGCTGAGAGCCACTGATATAAAATGCATTCTAATCTATATGGAATATTCCTGTGTTGGCCCCTGGGAGATGGTCTTCTCTATCATATCTGTCAGTCAGGGCTGTCGGTCTAATGTACCCGTAGTCCCTGCACTCTACATTCTATTAGCCAAGTGACTTTAGCACAGTAACAGCTCTGCACAGGCCTCCTTACCTCACTCCTTTCATGTCCCCGTAAAGGGCCTGCTTTAGGATGTATGGAGCATCCTCTGAGGTGCAAGCCACATACCGCAGAAGCACTTTTCCCCGCTCTGGTGAAAGCTCGTTCTGTTCCAAAAGGGCAATATACGCGCTGATCTTCTTGTTATTCCCATGGGCGTCTGCATCCTAGCAACCAAATGGTTCCCATTACATCTGTGCATTAGCCACTGGCCATCCCACCCATTCCATGTGCTTACAGCTTATGTCATGTGCCATGGGATGTTATTCTAAGCCAGTGGCTTTCTACCGCATGATTAGCAATGTCCATGCTGCCATTTGTCTCATGGGGTCTGGGCCAGTTCACAGTATCATCAACTCCACGATGCATTATGATGGACAGGGAAGATGGGTTTGTTTCCTCCCTCTGCTAAGCACATTCCATTTTGTTCTAAAAATACCATCTGCCCCTAATGACCTACGCCCAGTCAGACTGGCCAATGAATTTCTCTCACAGGGCAGACTGTCTTGGAGCTCTCGCTCGATGTGGGACCTTGGCACCACTTGTTACTCTGCAGCAGCTGCCATCGTACTGCCTAGGAAGGGAGCAGGGTCCACTATGTAGCTAGGGGTCACCAGACAAGCCTTCAAAGGTCAATCCCAACACCTTCAGTTGCACCTGGAGCCAGATGTGACACCACTTCCGTTACACACTTTCCATGTGCATGGCCAGCAGAATATGTATGTGTTGTCCGCAACCATCGCACTGGGAACCTGCATTTTGGGATTTTATTGTATTAAACTTTCCAAGCCTTGAGGTGATCAGGTGATTGTGAAGGTGAGATGCTGACGGTGCCCAGGATAGGGAGCAAGAGTTTCTGCATCTCATCGCTGACCTACCATGGCCTCTGCTATTTCATGTGTCAGTCTTCTGAAAAGCAAACGATTACCCTCTCTGCACGCTGAGGGTAGGGGATGTGTCAGCTTCCCACCCCATGTTACGCCCCCTGGATTGGTGGTGAATGCAGCCGTTTAGCAGAAGACAGGGTCAGGGTCACTCAAGCAATGCGTACCTGGGAAAGCGCCTTAAAGACGGCCTTGTACACTGGCTCCATGCTTGCCCCACTGGTCTCCGCTGCATCCTGGATGTTGTGCAGCCATTTCCTCCTGGCAGAACCTCGCAGGCGTTCCAGGTGGGTTCGTGCCACACTCATGGTCAGAAACTCCACCAAGTTATCAAGCACTTCATCTTCATTCCCAGTGAGCTCAGAAGCAACCAGTTCCAGATAAGTTTGGAATTCCTTTGGAGACAACTTCACCACCCTACCGGGGCGTGGGTGGGAGCAGCGAAGGTGCTTCTTGGCTAAGGGACGAAACAGCAATAAGGGCACAGGCATGCCTGTTGGTGGCAGTCTGCTTTGGTCTCCCTCTGCAGCAATGCCAGGCCTGTCCCAAACCTGATGCAGGGGCGTTCCCTGTCCATCATCAGAAAGAGTCTCTCTTTCCCCTTGTTTCTTCCTCCCCAAAATCAAACAGAAAAGTGCCATGGCAGCCTCAGAGGCAGGATGCGCTCTCCCCTCTAGATCACTGAGAAAACACCTGGACAGTGCCCCCAAATCCCCCCTCCCCCCAACACACACACCTCTGCATGACCGCCAAGCTAGTCACAGCAGGAGAACATCTGGAGCAGGGCTGGAGAACCCCTTTTGGGTCGGGGGCTGTTGATCCACAGAAAAATCAGTCAGTGGCTGCACACGAAGAAAAGTCCTGAGTGACGTGGCCCCCAGCTGAGAAGAAGGACACTCCCCCACATTCCCCTCACACACCAGAGTCTAGGGGGGCCCAGGCTAGTCAATTATGTATGCTACAGCCGTGTGGGGGATGGGAGGGGTAGAATGCCAGTGTGGGCTCCCCAATGCTGGAGGGAGAACCCCAAATCTCAGAGGCCAGATCCTGGGAAGCTGGGGGCTGCATCTGCCCCCCAGGCCTTAGGTTCCCCATCCCTGATCTAGAGGTTGCTCTTCATTACCCCAGAATCACATTCACCTCAATCACACTGCCAAACAGACCCCCTGCAATCAGGTGTCAGCACAGCAGGCTCCCAAAGGCAGCCACAAGTTCTGCAGAAGAATTACTGGCCATGCCCATAAAACCTTGATGGCAAAAGCCTACAGCTGGCCTTACAAGACAGCCATGTCTCCAGGGGTTTTCATGATGTACGGCACTTAGATCTCTTGTGGTTATTTAAGACCTTCCCAAGTAGCTATAATCTTCACTAATTCTACTTTGGTTGTCTGGGCTGAATTACTGACATAACATTTGGATTATATTAAATCTCATTGAGGATGAAACAAAATTAAAGCTCCCTTTATAGTACAGAGATGACCGGAGGATGCTCTGGACTATGAGAAGTTCACCAGCAGGCGCAGACAGGGGAAAGCCAGAAAGGAAAGCATTGTCCTCCATGGTTCTCCGCTGAAGAGCGCGTTCTCTGTAGTTCTGGTCTCCCCGTTTCTTTCAGGTTTCATGGCTGAGTTAATCTACGATGATTTATTTAAAAAATAAATCAGGGCTCAGTCTTGACCCAGTGAGCATTTCCTCCCCGGGTAGCAAAGGAGCTGCACACCCCCCTTGATGCCAGACTGCCATCTCCCATCCTGCTCATGTGAGCAGAGGGTAAGTGAAGAGGGAGGGGATGGGGTGGAGCCAGCTCCCCACTTCCAAACCCGCGGGGTGGAGCCACATCCCCACTTCCAAACCCGCCAGCCAGTGCAGGGCAGCCAGACTGACAAGAGAGCCCCTACCTTTGAGCTAAAAGCCACCTGGCTCTCAGCCCATGTTGTAGAGGTCTCTTGGTCCTATCTGTTGCTGTGGTCTAGGGGCCACTGCATGGGCCAGTGAACCACACTAGGGCTACACTGTCTACACTGGCGGGTTGTTGCGCCAGAAATATGCAAATGAGGCTAAATGTGGACTATCGCCGAGCCTCATTTGCATACCTAATGAGCCGGTGAAGGCTGCCTGAAACATTCCACTAGAAGATCTCATTTTCACTTGCCTAGACCTTTGCCAAACTTTCCCTGTTTGCATTCAAGTTTCCCATGTTGGATGTTTGCTTCTACCAGCATTTCATAGAAAGTCATAGACTCTTAGAGCTGGAAGAGACCTCCGGAGGCCTATTACTTGAGAGGAAGAACGGCATTGCGCAAGAGGGTTTTTCTTGCGCAACAAGGGGCAGTGTAGATGCTCCTTCTGGCGCAAGAGCCTCTTCCACAAAATGGTGGCTCATTAGGTATGCAAATGAGGCTTGGTGATATTCCACGCTTAGCCTCATTTGCATATTTCTGGTGCAACAAGCTGCCAGTATAGACATATAGGTGTGTGGGTTACACTAACACAGTAGGTGACACAACTTGCCTCCCTATGGAGAAAGGAGGGAGCATGGAACAAACTGTGACGCTCCTGGGGCAGGGTAGCTACTCATTGTGATGCAGTGGGGGGGCTGTCCACTCTTGTGGCGCTGGATCCACTCTGGTTTTGCATTCACTGGTTGCTGTGTTGTGCTGGGTGTGTCCCCTCTGCTGGGCTGCAGAGGCTCTGTGTGTCTGTGTGCAGTGCCCAGCGGGGGGAGGCACGTAGGCATGGCCCAGCCGCCTGACACCTGGAAGGCTATCTGAACAAAGCAAGGGGCGTGGCTTCCTGCGGGCTAAGGGACCAGTGGCTGAGAGTTGAGTTAGTCTCGGCTGGGCTAAGGGAAGGGGGGATGTTTTTAGACTAAGGAAGGGGTGAAGCCCCTTCCCCCCAAAAGGACTAAGGCTCTGCCCTGGCTCCTATGTCAACATCGACCCCGTGCTGCTCTGTATCTCTGAGAAGCAATAAAACCTTCTATTCTATGGGCTGGCCAAGTCACATCTGGCTGCAGATGAGGGTGCAGGGTCGGGGGCTCCCCGACACGTCGTCATACTCATGCTGGGTGCAAAGAGCCTGCCTACCACTATGTGATGAACCCTACAAGGGTTAACATCCATGGGACACTGAAGGAGTCTCTTTCAAAAATAACCTCTGTAGCGTCAAGTCACCTTAGCGGCAGAGAACAGAGTAGATGAGATATAATCTTATTCCCACAGTTAATTCCAACTGGCTTCCTTATGAATACTGTCGCAAGAGAGAAACCTGTCTGGTGGGCAGTGAGAAAGGGTGCTGGGTGACAATGCATCAGGCGGTAGGGAGGTGGACGTGAAGGTGATGGTGACTGACAATGAACATGGTAGCACAGTGGGCCCCAATCATGTGCTACCCACAGTGAAAACAAGCACATGGATCTGCCCCAAAGAGCTTTCAATCTAAATAATGCACAACACTTCAATGGCATTCACAGAAGATACTAAACCGGGAGGTGTGGCAAACACTAAGGAGGACAGAGAAATAAGACGAAAGAACCTAGTCAAGTTAAAAACAATAGGAAAACAATAAAGACTCAGCTTGAAAAAATAAATGCCCCTACATCAGCTGGGGAAATAACCCAAAAAAGAAATATGCAGCAGGAGAGGGACACCTGTAAAATCACAATGGCTTCAGGAGATCATGCATTGAGCATGGACAGGAAATTACTCTCCCTGGCTCTGGTACAGCTAGACCTGGAGTGCTGCACTGAATTCTGGGCACCTCATTACCAGACAGTTACAAACTTGGAGCCGTTGATAGACGAGCAGCCAAACGCTTGCAGTAGGGTGAGAGTGGCATAAAAAGGGCAAATCCCCAGAGCTACGCAGGCAGATGTTGGCTAAGAGATGACTGAGGGGCCAGAGGGTAACCATCTGGAAATATGTGGAGGAAGGAGAGGAAGTGTGAGAGAATACAAGAGACTCAAACAATAAGGGGATGAAACTAATCAGAGGAAAAATCAGGCTGACTTCCATGAAACAAGTCATAGCAAAGCTATCTAGCAGACCAGGGTAGTCTTTCAAGAAGTAGCTGAAGAGCTTTCATTTGGAATATTTAAAGGGCAAGTGGACAGAGCACTAGAACACGGACTGTAAGGTACAAGCCGGCACTGGACCTACGACAGTCAAAGCAGAATTAGTGAAGATTCTAGCTAACTGCATTTTACCAGAGCTGATTTTCAGGGCTAGCTAGGCATAAGTGGAGTAAGCGATTGCTGAGGGCCCTACCCAGCTCAGGGGCCCCATTTGCTTTTGTAATATGTGTTGTGTGGGAGCCTGCGTAGGGCCCCTAATGGGCTAGCATCACCTCTGCTGATTTCTACCATTCTGGGGACAAGTGCAAAGACCTAGGGTACAGACAATTAAAAAAGAGACTCCAAACTCTACACTGTATAAGTAGGATTAATAGTGGGCCAGTTCTGAAAATGTGAACATCTCATATTGTTTTCTACTCAGCTAAGTCCTGAACTGATCTATGCAGGGCGTTTTCTAAAGTACCCAGCCTTCCCCACTAACGAACCAGGTCTTGGTACGCACGTTACCTCCCATAATGCTCTATTTGCACACAAGAGGGTGCTCTTGTACAATTCTTTGAATGTGCGGGCTAAGCTTTCTTTTTGAAACATGGTATTCATTCATCCCCTGCCTCACTGCAAGTGCAAGCGCTTGTCTTCCGTTCATCTGAGCCACACCCTGGCCTGACATTTAGCAGTTCCCAAACAAGTAAACTGAGGGAGGGAGAGAGAGAGCTGCTTGTTCACAGGGTTCAGTGCCTCCACTAACCGATAGTTCGTGAAGTGTGTGTGGCAGTGAAGAGTGCTGCTAGGGGAGCAGTATTTTGTGATCAATACATGTAATGGTTTGATGCTTTGACAGAATGGAAAATGCTTTGAGAAATTACATGCCGGAATAGGAAGGAAACAACTCTGCCTCTCAAAGCATCCAGGACTCTAAGACCCTGATATTTATGGGAGTTGAGAGTCTGCTCCCTTGGAAGTCAATGAGAATTTTATCATTGATTTCAGTGGAAGCACAAGTAAGCCCTAAATGGCTCTGGACCTTTTAGAAATGTTTGCCAATGACTTCTTGTCCTTTGGAGTTTCAAAAGTGCACACAATTTTTTTTCCATTGAATTTTTAGGTTTTGTGACAAAATGAATAATGTTTGGGTTTGGATTACTGCTCCCCTTTTGCTCCCTTTCTTCTTTCCTCACTGTCTCTTTTTTTAAAAAAGGGAAAAAGAGCAGCAGGCATAAAGAAATACCCAGCAAGCCAAACAATGTTTCGTTTTGGTTTTTTTTTGTCAAAATCCCCCTAAAAATTTCAGTCAAAATAGCGTCTTGGAAAAAGCCATTACTCATCAAAATTATGAGACAAAGATGTTTCAAGCAGCTGCATGTGCAAGAGGTCACCATGTGGCT